AAATCCATGCTCCAGTTTTAGAGGGAATTTGCTTCCCTTCCCCTTCTCCATTTGGTTTGCAGGCAGCTCCTTCTTCTACAACGCAGGACATTTACTCTCATTCATGCAGCTCAGGGGTGTTATCTCTTCAAGCCGTACCTTTCCCAGCAGGCTCCTTCACATGAGTTTTTGGAGAGGGATGGCTTTGATTACAGTTCACCTTTTGTGGAGCTTAATTGTGCTTGTTGGTTGGTGCAGGAGAAAACCACTGCGTGAGAGGGTCCTTCTTCCCTTGCAAGCTCTGGTTGCTGGTAGCACAGCCAGGACTTCATAAACCAGATCCTGCAAAGCTTCAGAGCATCTGTCATTTAATACCTATCATTAGTGGCTGCCCGGCCTGCTTTTTGCATGCCCACAGTGCTGGGAAGAAGCATGTCTCTTTATCTCCTTGCTAGGCAATTATGTGCTTCAGCTGATGTTTCTCTTCATAAACAGTTTGACTTTCCCCTTTTTTCCATGTTTGTATCTGCTGTTGCTGGGAAAATGGAGACAGACCCTTGCAACCCCCTTCCAAGGCCACCTGAATATCCTCCCTCGCTGTGGGGAATGGAGCTCCTAGCTGAATTTCATGCATTCTGAAGCAATTGTGTAGAGGTCGCGTCATCTTTATTGACTCATCCATCTGGACTGAGTGTATAATGTAATGAAGATTTAAAAAACCCTCCTCATCCTTTCTGATGCTAACAGGGAGCTCGGCACTGTCATGGGTGGTTTGCTCAAGAGGTTTGCTTAAGAGAAGGATGGATGCATTTCAGGGAGCTTTGTTAAACCGCAGTGTCCAGCCCTCTCTGTCTGTCAGTGTTGGAAGTTTCTGGCCTGTTACGGTGTGCTAAACCAATATTAGCTGCATGGAAGACAGTCTCTGGCTTTGGTGTCGGGCTTAAATGTTTGTTGGGCTGATTGGATCCTGGCTGTAATTCAAATGGCATCTAACCTGGGGACAAGGACCTGTGAGGACACAGAGTAGGGCAGTACATAGCGATGAGAGCAGCACATAGACCTGTCTGCCAGCAGCAACAGGCTGCCCCGAAACCTGAAGGCTGGTGTTAGTTTAGGGTGAAACAGTGAGCCCCCAGATACCTCAAAATGTGTTTTCCTGAGATCAGATGGAGTTCATGCTATCTGTAGACCCACCTGGGAAGTCACTGCAGGGCCTTGCTGTTGCTGTACAGCAGAGATGTGGTGGCCTAGCCTTGACAAGCAAGGAGATAAATCTGGGCTGCGGGTGCTGGCTGTCCTTTGTGTCACAGATTGCCCAGGCAGTTAAAAACATCCGTGTCCATGCATCGGCCAGTCCTGCTTTAAGAGAAGGCACCCACAGAGAGAGGATTTCCCTGAGAAAGGAGCTATGGAGGTGTGGTAAATGGGTCTTTCCAACACCTACCGCCCCGGCTGACCGGCAGGGTGCTGGCTGCCTGGGTCAGACCCCTCAGTGGGACGTGGGGTGTTTCAGTCCCGCTTTGCTCTAGAGGAGCATTTGGCTTCAGTCTCCTCAAAAACTGGCAGCGGTGCCGGGTGAGCTCGGGAGGCAGCCCTGAGAGCGGACGTGAGTGGTGGCTCTGGGCCAGACCCCACTTCCTTTTTGATAGTCTGACAATGCAGGTAGTCTGGCGGAGGTCTCCGTCCTTGTGTGGGCACGTAGCACGGCTCCCAAGTGAGCGCTGGTTCGGAAATGTTTTGCTCTGCCTTCCCGTCTGAAGCTATGCTGAGTCGTATTTCTTTGCTGGTAAGAAACAGATCTGTTAGGAGGAGAAATTTACCCCGCACTGAGTGTAAACACAGATGGAAACATGGTGAAGCCCTTTTCAAAGTCAAGGGAATAAATCTGTTTAAAAGACTGAACATCTGGGGCAGTGAAGGAGCAGGTGGAGAACGAACCCAGTGGTGCTGAGGGGTGGCTGGCTGGGGAGAGGGCACGAACTGGAGGATAGTGGAAGTATCTAAAGTGGGGAAATTACCCCAAAGAGCAACAGAAGGCTCCAGAAAGGTTACATTCTTGGATCTTTTCTAAAGACTTCTTTATGTTGAGTCCAGTGAGTCCCAGGCATTTAGATGGAGCAAATTGGAAGGCTTTTCCCCTGAGCTACCCTCACCTGACCTTTCTAAGGCAGCACGCAAGGGACGTAGCTCTGTGTCTCCTCCAGCTGCTGGGATGAGCAGGATTTTGCTCCCTGGTTGGGCAGCGATTGTGCTGCAGAAGCTGCTCTGTGCATTCGCTGCCCTGGAGGGGCAGACCTGGCGCGTTCACAACACTGGGAATCAGCTTCACACTGACGGTTTGGTCAGCTCTTCTGGTCCAAGCCCACACACATTTTCTGTGCTCCACAATAAAAGCACTCCTGGACAAAGGCCTTGGCCCTGCAGGGCTTTATTCCCTTGCCTAACCAAAAAGCTAAAAGCGTGGATAAACCTTGGATGGCTGAGGAAATGTTAAATCATGTTCCCCTCCCAGCCGTAACCTTGGCAGAAGCGTGGCTCTGGCTGCTAAAACCCATAAAACGAACAGCCCCTGTTGCTCCTCATAGGGGTATAAAAATATAATTACTTGAAGAGTGACTTACGATTCAGTGAAACAAGGATCTTCTCCTTTTTGATTGAATTACTCAGCGGTATTCCTAGAAGACTGGAAGCAGATGGCGAGCTCTGGCCAGGCGTTTAACAGCCTCAGTTACTGCGTGGAGGGTTTTGGAGCCAAGCAAGAAGGCAACATGCTGCTCCTGCCTTTCTGCCTGTCTTGGGTCACCATCACGGCGTCTTCCCTGGGAAAGGACAGGCTGGAGGATGGGGCAGGGTGGTTTGCAGCAATGGATGGAGATGTGGAGCGTGTCCAGTAGCCGCGGGCTGTTTTGCAGCAGCAGCACGCAGCTCAGGCAGCAGCAAAGAAAGGCAAAAAATTTCATTTCTGCAAATCCAGTGCTGCTTTGGTCCCAGGTACAGACACTGCGGTAGCAATGCCAGTGTGTGTTGTGTCAGGACGCTGTGGACCTGGGAGGTGGCAACTGCCCTCCTTGTCATGCAGGCGAGCTCCTCGTCCCGCCGGGCCCAGGAGGAGGATGGATGAAGGCAGACGGTCCCCTGGGCTGGAACGGACAGCGCTGTGTAATTTCTGCCTCGCTGCTCCTCCTGCCCCCATATATCTTGAGCACGTCAATAAAATCAAACAGACTATTAGCAGCACGTTGTGTTCTCAGCCGTGGATGTGTGTGCTGTGCGTTAGGCAGCCATGCAGCCTGCATTTTATGAAGTTAGCTGCTCAGGCTACTGCTGGGGTTGCAACAATTATCACATCCCCTCACAGCTGGGCCATACTACAGCTTTTATGAGCTACTCTAAATCAAAGGCCCTTTCTTTTTAAAGATAAATTAACAATTCTCTCCCTGTCTTTTTTTTTTTTTTTTTTTTTTTTTTTTTTAATGGCTTAACAGCTAGCTGATTACTAGGTGAGACACAAATCTTGTTGCCGAGTTGTGCCTACTGCATTGTCTTTTTGATTATTTTTATCGAATAAGCAAATGTTCTTTTGGAGCTCTGAAGTCCTTAGGAGGGAGACTCATTTTCTGGTACCGTGATCTCTTTGTTGCGGGTGGGTGATGTATGAAAAGGAATTGCAAATAGCTGTTTACTCGCAAGGAAAGTCATGGAACAGCCCGCTTTAATTTCTGCTATCTGTCGGAGACTGTTGTTGGTGATGGTCAAAATTAATTAAGCAGGAAGGAAGAGAGCAGGGAGGCAGTATGCATCCAGTTCTGACACTGAAATATTAATGGTGAGCTAATCAAGAAAGAGTATCTATGAATATCTAATCAGCCTACAGTTTGCATTTTTTACTGATGTGGTGAACTTCTGGGCAACAGCCCTTTACCGGAGGTGTGGGGAGCGGCGGTGGGCTGCCTGATCGCTCTATCTGGGAATAAACAAAGGGCTTGTGCCTGTGCCAGGGGCTGAGGCTCCTTCGCCTTTTGCACCTGAGAGCCCTGCTGACACTGGCTGCTGCTGTGTCCTGCCCGCTGTCACCGCCAGCAGCCGGGTCAGAGGGTCCAGCCCAGGGCGGCCCCAGTGCTGTGGTCCTTCCTCCTCAGTGCTAGAGGGCACTTGGAGGGCTCAGCTCCTCCTGGGCTGAGCTGCAGCATCTGTCCACATCCAGGCCTTGGGCAAAAGCTCCAAACAGCACAGCCTTGAGTGCAGGACCTTGCCCTCTCGCTCCCTGCCCACGGAGGCAGCAGGCTGTGTTCCTGTCTTTCCTGCCAGTGCATGACCGGTGTTTCCAAGTCCATTTCCAAGGTATTTTGGGGGAAACAGAAGGTGATGGTTGTGCCACGGGGCCGGGGTACGCTGCAGACCCGCCATGCCCAGCACCCATGTGGGTCCAATGGCCACAGCAGGGGCTCAGCTGCTGTCACCGACCCACCACACAAACAGGGGAAAATAGGAGGAAACGATCCCATGGCAAAGCTGGGCTGAGCCTAATCAAAGTCACAAAAGTAAATGTCACCTTTGGGTGCCAGGAGGAGTCCAGCAACCTTTCTCTCTTCAACATCAGCGTAATGAGGGCTGTGGCTTTAGAGATTTGTATTGCTGTGTTTCTGCAAACAGTTCCCTCCTCTAACCTCCTGGAAATTGGATTTTGAGGGGCTGAGCAGTTTGTGTGCAGCAGATAGCAGCGCAACTGATAAGCAGAAACCTGTTTACACACTCGCTCATATCTAACGCTACAATTGGGCAGAGGACTGCCTGGATTTTTTTTTTTTTCTAATTTTTTTTTTTTTTTAACACTATCAAACATAATCCTTGTGGCTGAATGTCTTGCTGCTTAACTGGGAGAAATCTGAACTGGGCAATTTTAGTGGGTAACAAATGTGAAAGTAACTTCATGTGAAGCAAAAGGATAAAGGTAATAAGTTAAATATTAAATGATAATAAGGAAGAATCGAGTGGCGATCAGTAGGGAATAGTGTACTTACACTCTCCTGTGCGAGGTGGTATTTCAGGTATTGCTGTGTTAGTAGGCACTAGACGCAACCCCAAATGCAGGAGGGAGAGAGTCCTGGCATGTCGCTCTGACAGCAGCAGGGACTTCCTGGGAAAGGAAAATGGAAAGCAGATGGTATCAGTTAAGAATAGCAGGAAGGTACCAGGGATGTCCAGGAGGGTGGTGGAGCGCAGTGGCCGCCTCCATGCCCTGCGGTCTGGGGTGCGTGGGCACCGCGATGCCCCGCTCCAGTTCTGGGGGGTGATGGGGGAGCGAGCAGCAGGGACGTCTCCAGGAGGAGCCCTCTGAAACGTGCTTCTCTCTGTGGCTCCAATATAACCCAAATCTGTCAGCCTTTAGGGCTTGCTGTGAAGGTCATCTGTGAGCAAGGCTAATTATTTCAAGCAAAGCAGCAGGGTAATGCCACTAACCTGCTCCCGGGAACTGAGCCCTGCCCTGAGCCTTGGCTGTGTAGCTGCACACAAGCTGCAGGGAATTACGGATGCATGGGGGTGTTTGTTAAGCCCACAGATATAAACAGATCCCACTGGCATGTACCTCGAGCACGGAGAGGGAAACACACATTTTTCATAGCTGATTCATTCAGCTGTCATGAAAATGCTGTTCAAGCCAAAAGGTAGTGTCTCTTTTTTTTTCCGCCATTTAATTTTCTTTAATCTGCTCTTGACATTTATTGAAAGAAGCGTTTTACGCACATCAAAGCCAAAGATTTCAAAACATCACATGAAAAAAAATTTAAGGTCAGTCCAAGGGAGGGTATGATAGGAAACATGAGATGAAAGACTCTAGTTTCTACAAGGAAGGTCTGAGCAAAATGAGAGGTCACGCTGATCTGTGGTCCGAGGGCACTTCGTTTGCACCTCTGATGGTAGCTGCAAGTGGTGGGCTTTGTATGTTGTGATACCTTCAAGCAATTTAAGCAAGGCTGTCCTTAATATGAACAGGCTTAAAAGTAAAAGATGCTTTGATAACATGACTTTTCAGGAGCCTCTTCATGTGAGCAAAGAGCTTCCTATGGCTCTGCCCAATGTTGGCCCAACGTGCTTTGCCCGGGGCCACACTCAGAGGGCTCAGGCAGAGCTGAACCATCCTTTGCATTCCCTCTCCGTGAGCGAGTGTTGCTGCTTCCCACATGATTAAATGAGCCAAACACTTGACAAACTGAACAAGCTGCTGAAAGGGAATCTAGTGGAGCGGCCAATCCTGCAAGATGCCTCTGGATGTGCTGAGCATCCCAAATGCCAAAACTGAAGAAAGAGAAATGTAAAATATCCTCAGAAAACTTCTGCATTTAGTTCATTTTACACGGGTAGAGGTAACAAGCTGACACAGGTTAATTTATAGCTCGGTTGTATGCTGATTGCAAAGTACACATTTCCAGCCAGCAATCATTAGTAAATCACTTTCCCATCGGTTCTCTTGGCATATAAAAGAAATTTCTCTCTTCCTGACATTTAAAAAAAAATCCTAATAAGTTATACACTCCATGACTTTATAGCATTTTTAATATTTAAAAGAAGGCTAGAATCTATAACCTCAACCTTTAACAAATGTACAGTAACGCGATAACAAATTTGCCTTGAACAGCTGCTATCTCGGTACCAACTGGCACAGAGAGGAGGGAAGTAATTGGCTTGTTTTCAGATAATTACCATAATTGTAGTGACACCATTTGGATCACATCTAACTGCGTTCCTGCTGCAAGTTGGATAATTTAATAATTGGCAGAATTTAGACTGACAGTAAAGGTAAAGTCAGCATATGGTGGGGAAGTGGGCAGGCACCTCCCTGTGTTGCTGCTACAGGCTCTGCTGCTCTTGCTGTGAAGTTTGGCAAAACCTTTAGATTTTGCTGCTTTTCTTAAGCCCCGTGGCTGGTTCACATCTTTGCACCTTTTCTGATGCTTGGCCTGATGAGACCCCATTTTGCACCTTTTGCACTTTTTGATTTGAGATCAATCGCTTTGTTTCAGTCCTACCCAAATTACTCATTTCTTTGTGCACTGAGTATTTTTAGCTGCCCTAGTTCTGCTGGGGGTTTTGTCAGAGCTCTGCACTGAGAGTGGATTAAACCGCAGTCAGGTGCTTACAGGCAGCAGCTCAATGCCTGTCCCAGAGGTTGGACCCAGAGCCTCTGATCAGGGTTTGTTCCCCTGGCCGAGACCTGCCCAGCTGCAGGGGCAGTGGGGAGCAGAGCGTCGGGCTCAGTGTGATGCACTGGAGAGAACTTGTCCCTGTTGTGTCTCCCTGTGCTTGCTGCTTGTGGCCAGCGTGAAGGGGACTCAGCACCTCCCGTGTCTCCAATCCTGACAGCTGCCCGGCCAGAGTCCCGGGAGCAGGGGGGCTGCAAGGTAAGGCCAGGAGGTGGCTGAGGCTACCGGGGAAAGGCAAGAAGATTTTATCAGATCAGCTGGGCATTTTTGCCAGGGAGTTGCAAAATGGAGCAGAATGCTGAGCTGGTGCCTCGCAGGGCTGGTACGAGTACTGAGAACTCTCGTGCAGCGCCCATCCACGGCTTTGCCCTGCCTCCATTTCTGCTTTGCAGCGCAGAGGTGAAGACACCTGGCAGCGATACTGGCCGTGCCCACAGACGGGGGGTCTGCTGGAGCTTTTCTAGTCCCCAAATGAGGGAGAGTTTTAGGGCACATTTCTTATTTTGTGTCATGTCCCGGCTGCTCCCTGTGGCACTTCTGCTTTCCCCAGGCTGAACCCAGACACCTCTCCCAGATGACAGAGAGGTCAAGGAGGCTGTGCCAGACCCGTGGGGTGAGTAGAGTTCCTGCCCACTGGGGCAAAGCAGAGTGCTTCCCACCTGTACTGGTTACTGGCAGAGCTGTGCCCTGCCACGTTTCAGGCCAAACCAGGCTCTCCATCCCACGTGTATTTTCGATGGGTCCCGATGGGTGAGGTGACTGCTGATGCACGTAGGTCTGTGGTGCTGCCCACACCTGGGGGGTGCCCAGCTCATCACACGCTGGGGAGGACTTCGGCACAGAGCAGGCAAAGAGCTCGTCTCTGGAATAAACCTGTCGGCCAAGATGAGGTTGACAGCTCCATCCCAGCCTCCAGCGCCTGGTCACACACACACCGCTGGCAACAGGAGGAAAGGCGGATGACTGAAAAGCAAATCCCAACTCTATTTCCCCAGGCTCTTGGGGGGTGGTCTCTGGTGTAGTGGTGGGAAGGTGTGTGGTGCTGGGGCTCCGTGCCTGCGAGAGGCTGGCTGATCCCCACACCTCTCCCTGCCCCTCGTGCAGAAACTGCAGGGTGAACCGTTCCCTTGCAGCATTCCCTCCCCCTCTGTGATTTATTGCTGCCAGGAGGCATGTTGGAGGTGGCATAAATCTCACCCAAAAGAGAGAGAAGGAGGAAATTTGCATTCACTCCCTCACTGGCATACTGAATGCAGCTTTCCAGTTCACTGCTGAAACCCAGAGCAGGTCCGTGGCAGTAGGCTGAGGCACTTCCATCGGTATAAAACAGGGCCAGCACCGGGGCTGCCATCCCTGCCAGAGGAGGCTCCCACAGCCAGCAAGGAGCAGCTCCCCCACTCAGCCCAATTATCTCTAGATTAACTTAAATCCACTCCCATTTATATTCCACAGTATCAGCCTACATGATTCTGTACTGTTTGCAGGCTTCAAGCATTCGCTGTTCTCCCCTCTGCTGCTCCGCCAACAACCACAAACCCTTTTAATAGCTTCTCCTCATTCAGACCTTCCGATGCTCCTAGTCATTGCTGCTGTGTCTCACCCAGCTCCCTCCAAGCTTACACCCCTCTCCTCCTGTGCAATGCCTCCAAAGCACTCCCTGGGCTGACAGTCAGTGTGCTGGAGTTAAAATCCTGCAACTGCTACTGGAAAGGAGACTACAGAAGGCAATTAGGGAGGTTATAGTCAGACCACGGTCATGATGCTGCAGTGGGTCTGGATGTCCTGTCACGAGCAGCCAGCCTGGACCAAGAGGCTTTCAAGCACAAGTAAAGAGAAAAGCCTGACAATTGTTGTCTCTGAGATTCCATTTTAACTGCAAGAGTCCATCAGGGTTTTCCTATGTTGACAGTAAACTGGATACAAGGCAAACCAAGAAATGCAAGAAAGCAAGGTGGCTACAACACATTAATCAGAAGCAAAAGTTGGAGGCAGCCTGCAAACCTCTGCTTTTGCACGGGCTGATGGCTGTAAATAGCATATTGAAGCAATGGAGGAAGTAAAGAATTAATTACAGTTCTGAGACCCAATCCCACTTCCAGCCACAGGCAGCATTTATTAAGATCTCACTGAGGCGGGAAAGATTGAACAAGGGACTCGGGGGACTACAAAGGGGAAAAGAATTAATCAGTTTGTCTCAGGAGACTGGAGAAGTCAGATTAAATAAAAACTGGAAGTGAAATGAAGGGAAGAACTAGATGGTTGGAAACCTGGACCTGTTTGAAGGAGAGAGACCAGAGTCACGGCTGGGAACAGTCCCAGGGTCTCCCGCTACAGAAGCTGGGGAGCTTTGGGGAGACAGGCTGAAAGTTTGCCTTGACTTCTTTAATAGGCTTAGAAATGTCCCATTTAGGTCTCTTGCTTCCTTTGCCTGGCAGGAGGAGGCCACGCAAGGTGCCCCCAGTCCTCCCACTTCTGATCCTTGCTCCAGTGCATCATAGAAGTGCCCAGGTCCCCCCTGCCCCAGTGTCACTGGGACCCAAGAGCTGTTCCCCAGCCTGCCAAAATTCCCTGGTAGCCAAGGCGGGGTGGGAGGGGGCACGAAGGGAAGCTGAACTCAGCGGAATGATTAGATGCCCGAATCCCCCGTGTCCCACAAACACCCTAAAAGGAAAATCTTTGTTCCTGCCTGTTGTCAGCCCAGTGTTTTCCATCATAATAACATTCAATTATTTCTCTTCTAAAGTGTACAACATTTTCTTCCCTCTTTTGTGCCGTTGCTTTTCTGTCTGTCCTCCTGGGAAAGGTCACTGGGCTTCCACATTCCTGCTGTGTAATGAGCTGCGACAAACGCTGCTGATGGTGACCAGCGCTGGGGTCAAAGAGTTTTAGTGGGCGTTGAACACCAACATCATGGGGAGGGAGCCTGTCCCCAGCT